TGCCAGGAAGTAAGGCACTGTTTCCTCGGCTTCTAACCAGTACTGATCTGTCAACATTATCACTTTCATTCAAAAGGAATGGTTTGCTCATTATTTCACTTCCTGTTTACATACAAACAAGGAGCAGGAGTAGGCCACTTGGCGCAACCTTGTATTGTTAGGCTGAACGTACCTAAGGGGTTCTTTAAAATCTGATCAAAATGATTACAAAAGACACGTGTACTTCAATGTGAAGCAAATTTATTAACTTAATCTGCTTAATGTATATTAGAGACATATGCAAACGACTGGGTGAATTGATTATCTCTGAGTTTCCCTCTGCCTTCTGTCTCGTTGGGAACTTTGGTAACACTGGCATTCTGAGCTCTATCTCCGATTCCATGGCACCGTTCTTGCGAACCCCAGGCGAGGGTGAAAACTCAGATGAGTGGAGAAAATACTAAGATTTAATACTTCTCTGAATCTAAGATTATGAATCTTCATTTCATAATACTTTCAGTAATCTTCCAGATATTCTGTGTGCAGAAAATAAGTTGAAAATTTCTCCAGGTGGTTCTGTGTTAACCCCACAAAGCTCCCATAGACAATCAAGGTTATGAGGTTACCTCCTGGCTAAAACAGGCATGTTATTTACACCAGGCCTATTTTAATGTATTTTTCCACTTTGCTTCAGTTGTTCATGACCATGAGCAATTAACCCTTAATGGTCTGGTTTGAAGGTACAGTTCTTAAGCCCAACACTACAAACTTGCTCTGCATTTAATATCTTCGTGGCTGATCTGATTATAAACTCACATCCACATTCCTGCCTACTGCTTATAACCTTCACCCCAGTCCTTGCTAAGAATCTATCCATATCTGCCTTAAATGTATTTCAGGATTCTGGTGCCCCCATCTTTTCAGAAAGGGAGTTGCAAAGGCTGTCAGCCCTCTGAAAGCAAAAATTGTACCGTATATGTGATATAAACGAGTGACCCCAAGTTCTGCTTTATTCCTCTCTGTGATGACCTTGTTAAGATCTTTCAGGTTTATATGTTCAAAAAAGTCACCTCTTCTGAGCTCCAGCAGACAAAGGCCTCATCTATCCAACTTTTCCTCACATATCCATTCATTCCTGTCTGGTAAACCTTCTCTGAAAGTTTTTAATAAAGTGACCAGTACTGTACACAGTACTCCTGATGTGGTCTCACCAATGCCCTGTATGACTGAACCATAACCACCTACTTCTGTATTCAGCTCCCTTCGCAATAAATGATAGCATTCTATTTATTTCCTAATTACTTAACTGAATGTGTCCACTTGCTTTTTGCAATTCATGCACTAGGATTTCAGATCCCTCTGCATTTCAGAGCTCTGCAATTTCTGAAGAAGGGTCCAGACCTGAAACGTCAGCTTTTCTGCCCCTCCGATGCTGGCTGGCCTGCTGTGTTCCTCCAGCTCCACACCTTGTTATCTGCAATTTCTAACCATTTAGATATTATGCTCCTTTTTATTCATGTCAAAAATGTTCAATTTCACACTTTCCAACGTTACACTCAATTTACCAGATATTGCCCACTCATTCAACCTGGCTTTTTCTTATTATAGTCTACTTATGTTGTCTTTTACCTATGCTTGTGTCGGCACTAAAATTGGCAGTCCTTTAAATAATAAACTGTTCAGGTCCCAGCACTGATCCCAATGGTACATGACTCACTACATCTTGCCAGCCTGAAAAATACTTATTTTCTGCAATAACTTTTGGGGCACTTAAATGCTTTCTGGAAATTGAAGTAGAGTAGTTTTCCCACTTTCTATCCCTCCCATTTTTTGAATGTAGAAGTTATATTTGCTATCTACCAATGTAATGGGACTGTTTTGGAAAATTAAAACCAATGCATCAACTATTTCAATGGCCATTTCTTTCAAGAACTTCAGAATGAAGTCCATCAGGACCCCAGCACTTTTCTTCGACTACAGCTCAATAATTTACTCAGTACCACTTCTCTGGCGATTGTGAATTTCCTCAGTTACCCCCTTCCCCCTCATTTCCTGACGTATTGCTGCTTCTGTGATATTACTTGTGTCCATCATCATGAAGATTATTGCAACTACCTGTTGAATATATCTACCGTTTCCTTATTTTCCATGATCAATTCTCCAGACCATTTTTGTTCAGACCAGTGTTCATTTTCTTGACTCTATTCTTTAGAAACTAGTAGAAACTTGCTCGGTTTTTAGATTTCTGACTAGCTTTCTCTCGTGCTCTTATGTTTTACTTTGTAAATTTTTAGTTGTTCCTTGGCCGCAAGCTTGTGAGCTACCACGTCTCCATGCAGACTATATACTTTTACTTCATGGTTGACACTGTCTTTAACCTTTCTAGTTCGATTCGGATGGTGGGTCCGTCTCTTGGAATTTTTCATACTTGTTGGATTGTATCTATTTTGTGTATTTTGAAATAGCCCCTTAAAAGTTTATCACTGCATCTCTACTAGCCCATCATTTAACCTAATTTGCCAATTCACTTTTTCTTGCAGTGATTTCATGACCTCATTATTACCCTTGTTTAAGTTACTAAAAATACTCTCAAACCCATTCTACTCTTTCCCTCGAACTGAATTTAGTATTAAATCATATTTGGTTTCTAATGCAAAGGGCTTAAAATCTTTATAGCAAAGGCACCCATATCTCGTTGTTACATTCTGCTGCAGAATGTGCTGTTCTAAGAAGCAATCCTGAAAGTGTTCCATGAACTCAGCAGCCAGGCTGCTTTTGCCTATCTAACTTTTCCAGCCTACATGTAAATTTAAATCGACCATGGTTCATTTCATGTCTTTCTAACAGGCTCCCATCATTATTTTCCTTTATGCTCCATTCTCCAATACGGTTATTATTAAGGTCAAAAGAGTAACTGGGGAGAGAATAGGGTCCCCTATCAACGAGGCCATCTGTGTGTGCTTGTCAGTATATACTGTGGAGAAAGACGTGGAAACTAGGGAATGTGGGTAAGTAAATAACGATGTCTTGAAAAGAGTCCGCATTACAGAAGAGGTGGTGCTGGAGGTCTTAAAACACGTGAAGGTAGATAAGCCTCTAGGACCTGATCAGGTGTATCCCAGGATATTGTGGGGAGCTAAGGAAGAAATTGCAAGGCCCATAGTAGAGGTATTTCTATAATCAACAACCATGGATGAGGTGTCAAAGCTGGGGGTAGCAAATGTTGCGCCATTATTTAAGAAAGGCAGCAAAGAAAAGCCAAGGAACTACAAACCGGTGAGCCTGATGTCACTGCTGGATAAGTTGTTGGAGGGGATTCTGAGACAGGACATGGATTTGGAAAGGTAAGGGCTAATTAGGGATAGTTTGCGTGGCTTTGTGTGTAGGAAATAGTCTATCTCTCAAACTTGATTGAGTTTTTTTTCAAGAGGTAACCAAAAAGATAGATGAAGGCAAAGTGGTAGACATTGACTGCATGGACTTTATTTTGGCCTTTGGCAAAGTTCCGCGTGGTGGACTGGTTAGAAAGGTTTGATCACATTGGATCCAGGGAGAGCTCACCAGTTGGATACAAAATTGGCTTGATGGTTGGGGGCAGAGGGTATGGTAAAGGGTTGCTTTTCAAACTGGAAACACATGACCAGCGGTGTGCTGCAAGGATTGGTGCTTGGTCCACTGTTGTGTGTTATTTATATAACCAATTTGGATGACAATATAGGAGGCCTGGTTAGTAAGTTTGCAGATGACACCAAACTTGGTGGTATGGTGGACAGTGAAGAAGGTTATCTGAGAGTACGATGGGATCTTGATCAAATGGGGCAGTGGGCTGAGGAATGCCAGATGGAGTTTAGTTTAGATAAATGCAAGGCTTTGTATTTTTGGACAGACAAACCAGGATAGGACTTGCACAGTTAATGATAGGTCCCTGGGGAGTTATGTCGAACAGTGAAACCTAGGAGTCCAGGTCATTAGTTCCTTGAAAATGGCATCACAGGTAGATGGTGGTGAGCAAGGCATTTGCCATGCTTGCCTTCATCGGTCAGTGCATGGAGTATAGGAGTTGGAACGTCATGTTACAGCTGAACAAGACATTAATGCTACGTTTGGAGTATTGAGTACGGTTCTGGTCATCCTGCTCTAGGAAGAATGTTATTAAACTGCAAAAGGTGCTAATAAAATTTACCAGAATGTTTCTGGGGTTGGAGGGATTGAGTTATCAGGAGAGGCTGGGTAGCCTAGCACTTTTTTCTCAGGAGCATAGGAGGCTGAGGAGTGACCTTAGAGGTGTATAAAATCATTAGGAGTGTAGATAAGGTGAATAACCGAAGTCTTTTCCCCAGGGTAGGGAAGTCCAAAACGAGAGGGCATGGGTTTAAGGTGAGAGGGAAAGATTTTTAAAAAACCTGAGGCAACTTTTTTCACACAGAAGCTGGTGTGTATTTGGAATAAGCTGCCAGAGAAAGTGGTAGAGATGAGTACAACTACAACATATGTACCTGCCCAAATGTCATAACATGACAAGGAAAGGTTTAGAAGGATATGGCCCAATGGAGACAAACGTGACCAATTCAGTTTAGAAAACATGGTCAGCATGGACGAGTTGGGCCGAAGGGTCTATTGGTGTGCTGTTTGACTCTGACTGTACTTTTATGGAGCCTATACACAAGTCACAGGAGTTACTTGCCTTTTAACATCTTCTCATCTCTGCCCAAACCATATGCAAATCTGGTCTCCTGAACAGAGGTCATCCCCTCATGTCCTCATGTCATCCTGAACAGCAATCCATCTATCTTTACCTGGTTTGCAGTTCTTCCTGAATATTCTGCATCTCTCCTGCAATAATGTCTCTGTGATGGCTACCAAATCAGATTGTATTATTTCTTTTTATGTGCTGTCAGTTCATCTACTTAATTTCAAGTGCTACAAGCATACAGATGCAAAGTCTTTGCCCTATCCTTTTCTTTTGTAGCATTGTGGCTCATCTATTGATGTACTCTCAGTTTATCCCTTCCTGTCACGGTTTATTTATCAATTCCCGTATTGGTACCTTCCTAGTCCAGATCAGTTTCTGGCTGATGTAACCTTCAGGAATTGAGGAATTCAGTGATAATGCTGTTGAATGTCAAAGGGTGATGGTTAGATTTGTTCTGGTTGGAGATGCTCATTGCCTGACAGTCGTGTGGCATGGATGTTAATTGCCACTTGTCGGCCCAAACCTGTGTATTGTCCAGGTCTTGCTGCATTTGGCCGTAGACGACTTCAGTACCTGAGGAGTCACAAATGGTGCTGAATGTTATAAAGTGGAGGTTGACACCCTTCTGTGAGTTAAAACCAAAACGCTCAAGGGTGAACACCTCACCCTATAATCTGTAAAAGGAGTGTGAAAAGTGGTGTAACCTGCTTTTCAGCAACTTCTAATGGTTAAATAAAATAAACCCCTGACACTCACTTTACAATCAACAAGTAATAATTATTTATCTAACAGTGAACAACAAATTAACTAAACTATTAACAAACCGAATAAACCCCTTCTAACTACTAACTATTGCAGAGTAAAACGAGATTCTAACAGTATATGTTGTTCCAATAAATACAAGCCCGCTTCATATAAAATAAAAAAAGTAGAATCTTGTCTTGAAATTGCAGCCAGATTACATGTTTTCCGGAATGCTCTATGCCTTTTGTGTAAAATATTCTGTCATATACACCACCTCCATTGATTCTTCTGTCAGGAATATTAACTAGTTGTGCCGTTGGTACCCTTTGATATTTAGATGGTGCTTTCTCTAAGACTTACAAGAGCCTGTGAGAGCCAACAATTCTGTTGAGAGCTGTTAATTCTGGCAGATGACAGTTTGTTCTCCTGTCTTTGTCCAATGCCGCTACCGTTTATACCCTTGATGTATCAGTTCCTCACAAAAGGATTGGTCCTATGTTGTCAAACCATCAAATTTAAATTTAGTTGGTTTTTGGTATCTAGGTGCCTGGTTCAAATCAGCTAAGTTCAAAACTTGTGGTTTTGATTAAAACAAAACTGCTGCTTGGCCTGCTAACTGTATAGCCTTTTGATATAAAATGTTTCAATCCTTGTGCTCTCTATGTTCTTGCAAACTTTCAAGCTGCTCACAGATGTCCTTTTTAAATCTCTAAGCATGGAAAAAGCACATCATCTTTTAAAGGGACCATACATGGCTTACCCCTAGCATTTTACAAACAACAAATTCTAACTTTCTGCCTCCCAATCTGCAAGTACTTTACCCACTTTGCAACATGTACATTGTGTAATCATCAGTGAACATCCCCAAATGTGACCATATGATGGAGGAAAGGTCATTGATAAAGTGGCTGAAAGTGTTTGGCCCATCCTGAGGAACTCGTGCAGCGATGTCCTGAATCTGTGGTAACTGACTTCCAACAACCACAACCATCTACCTTTTGTGCCACGTATGACTTCAGCCGGTGAAGAGCTTTCCACCTGATTCCCACTGACTCCAGTTTTGCCTGTTGGCACACTAAGGTCAAATGTGGCCTTGATGTCAAGAGGCAGTCACTGCCATCTGCATCTGAAAATCTGTTCTCTAAGGGAGCAGTGTGTATATAGAATATTCAGGGAGGCAAGCAGTGCAAATTTGATGAGATTAGGCAATGAATCAATACAAGCTGGGGTGGCACGGTGTCTCAGTGGTTAGCACTGCTGCCTCACAGCCTGCGATGCGGGTTTGATTCCACCCTTGGGCGACTGTCTGTACAGAGTTTGCACATTCTGCCCGTGTCTGCTGGGTTTCCTCCAGGTACTCCGGTTTCCTCCCACAGTTGAAAGAATTACAAGTTAGGGTGGATTGGCTAGGCTAAATTGCCCGTAATGTTCAGGGATGTGCAGCTTAGGTGGGTTATAGGAGGAAGGGTTCTGGATGGGATGCTCCAAGGGTCGGTATGGACTTGTTGCGCTGAAGGGTCTGTTTCCCCACACTGTAGGGATTTGATGATGAAGTTGTGGGGCCTAGCTGGAAAATAGCATGAGTGAGGGGACTGGTGTGCAGCTTGGAATCAACGCAAGTGAGAGGGGGTTGAGCAAGGAAGCGATATGAGCAGGTTGATCTTGGCTAGTGGAATAGGCTGCTCCAAAACAGTGCCAATTGAGTCACATGCTCCCTTGACCTAACAAAAAGATGCTAAAGCGAAAGTGACAATAAATGTATATGCCAGCCCTAAAATATCTGATACCAAAACAAAACAATGCTGAATGTGGCACTTAAAATGGAGATTTAATGAATGTCCCTTTATGTTCTGCCTTCTCTGTAGGGTAGATCTTGACAAACTACTCCCCGTCAAATTCTTTTAAAATTTTGAACACTGTCAGCACAACCTGGCTCCGAAACCAGGTCAATTGAAAGTTGAGATGCCCACAGTGTTGCTTGGACAAAATTAATATGGGAGGCTAATGCTACGCTTTTTAGCTTTTCTAAGCTTAAAAAATAGAAACTATTGCAAAAGAACAGCATGTTTTTCAAGTGTTTCTGTAATTGAGCAAATCCATCGACCAAAGCTGTTGAGTGTTTACATTTCTGGTGATGCTAAGTCGAGATGTTGACAATTTGTGTTTTGCTTTTGGCACAGGTGAAGTGTTCCACAGTTTAGGTAAAGAAGATCACAGACATCCCACACCAGTCGCTCCGAGGAATAGCCCCACAGGTTTAACATCTCTTCCATCTCTCGCACCCACGCCGCTGTCCCCTGCCTCTGCACCTCACATGTCTAACCTTGTGACTTCGCCTTTTCCAAAGACAGCTTCAACTGCCCCCGGTTTTGTCGATCCCCATTCTGGACTCTGTCCCACTTCAACTGCAGCCCCTGCAGCTACTACAGAAGGTTCAGTGAGTGCTTCAGCCAGTGTCTGCAGGTGAGTGTCTCTTCCTGTTATGATTATTTTCAGTTTCAGTGAAGCGTCTCCATCAAATTTGTTATGCAAAGCAAGTCTGGAACAAAATGTATCTCTCACTTATATATAAATTTGCTGCTGAATACTTAAATACCGACAATTGAGTTGCGTTCTCCTGAGAATTTTGCTGTCTTCTGGCAGCTGCTGATGTTAAAATGATGGAAATAGCATTGATCCTGATTTCATTCTACTGTGTTTGTGTAAAAGAAATCAGGTAGACACCAAAGTCCTGTTCCTAAATATTTATAAATGAACAATCTTGATAAATGATGCAGACTACTCCTGTGCATTGCAGAGGGAGAGCTACATTGTTAACCATGCCAACTTTTGGATGAGTTGTGAACTTAAATTCAGTTCTGTCTGTTTGTTTGGTTCAGATGAATGGTGTAAGTAGTCCTTTGACTCCTGTCTCCCCCAACACCACCACCAATACTGCATTGCTGCTCTGTGGCATTGTGCAGTGCTTTAATTAGTAGTTACACTTACCTACATAATTTGTTGTGTACAAAGACAAGTCTGAGAGGTTGAAGATGCTAAGTTGACTGAGCGACAAAAATTTAGACACGTGTCCAGTTGCATTATGGAGCAACAGAAAGTATCACTGAACAGCGAAGCTGAGGGAGAGCAAAGTGGGTCCAAGACTCAGAACAAAGAAAATTACAGCACAGGAACAGACCCTTCGGCCTTCCAAGCCTGCGCCGATCCAGATCCTCTATCTAAACCTGTCACCTATTTTCCAAGGACCTGTATCCTTCTGCTCCCTGCCCATTCATGTATCTGTCTAGATACATCTTAAATGACGCTATTGTGCATGCCTCTACCACCTCCGCCGGCAACACGTTCCAGACACCCACCACCCTCTGCGTAAAGAACTTTCCATGCATATCTCCCTTAAACTTTTCCCCTCTCACCTTGAAATCGTGACCGCTAGTAATAGACTCCCCCACTCTGGGGGAGAAAAAGCTTCTTGCTATCCACCCTGTCTATATCCCTCATGATTTTGTAGACCTCAATCAGGTACCCCCTCAACCTCCGCCTTTCTAATGTAAATAATCTTAATCTACTGAACCTCTCTTCATAGCTAACGCCCTCCATCCTGGTGAACTTCCTCTGCACCCTCTCCAAAGCATCCACATCCTTTTGGTAATGTGGCGACCAGAACTGTACACAGTATTCCAAATGTGGTCGAACCAAAGTCCCATACAACTGCAACATGACCTGCCAACTCTTGTACTCAATACCCCGTCCGATGAATGAAAGCATGCCGTATGCCTTCTTGACCACACTATCGACCTGCGTTGCCACCTTCAGGGTACAATGGACCTGAACACCCAGATCTCTCTGTGCATCAGTATTCCCCAGGGCTTTTCCATTTACCGTATAGTTCGCTCTTGAATTGGATCTTCCAAAATGCATCACCTCGCATTTGCCTGGATTGAACTCCATCTGCCATTTCTCCGCCCAACTCTGTCAACTATCTATATTCTGCTGCATTCTCCAACAGTCCCCTTCACTGTCTGCTACTCCACCAATCTTAGTGTCATCTGCAAACTTGCTAATCAGACCATCTATACCTTTCTCCAGATCATTTATGTATATCACAAACAACAGTGGTCCCAACACGGATCCCTGTGGAACACCACTGGTCATAGTTCTCCATTTTGAGAAACTCGCTTCCATTACAACTCTGTCTCCTGTTGCCCAGCCAGTTCTCTATCTATCTAGCTAGTATACCCTGGACCCCATGCGACTTCACTTTCTCCATCAGCCTACCATGGGGAACCTTATCAAACGCCTTACTGAAGTCCATGTATATGACATCCACAGCCCTTCCCTCATCAATCGACTTTGTCACTTGATCAAAGAATTCTATCAAATTGGTAAGACATGACCTTCCCTGCACAAAACCATGCTGCCTATCACTAATAAGCCCATTTTCTTCCAAATGTAAATAGATCCTATCCCTCAGTATCTTCTCCAGCAGCTTCCCCACCGCTGACGTCAGGCTCACCGGTCTATAAGTACCTGGATTATCCTTGCTACCCTTCTTAAACAAGGGGACAACATTAGCAATTCTCCAGTTCTCCAGGACCTCACCCATGCTCAAGGATGCTGCAAAGATATCGGTTCAGGCCCCAGCTATTTCCTGTCTCGCTTCCCTCAGAAACCTGGGATAGATCCCATCCGGACCTGGGGACTTGTCCACCCTAATGCTTTTTAGAATACCCAACACTACTTCTTCCCCCCACCCCACCCCACCCAAACCTTATGCCAACTTGATCTATCCCTAACCTCAACATCTGTCATGTCCCTCTCCTCGGTGAATACCGACGCAAAGTACTCATTAAGAATCTCACTCATTTTCTCTGACTCCTCGCATAACTTCCCTCTTCTGTTCTTGAGTGGGCCAACCCTTTCTCTAGTTACCCTCTTGCTCCTTATGTATGAATAAAAGGCTTTGGGATTTTCCTTAACTCTGTTTGCTAAAGATATTTCATGACCCCTTTTAGTCCTCTTAATACCTCGTTTCACATCGGTCCTACTTTCCCGATATTCTTCCAAAGCTTCGTCTGTTTTCAGTCGCCTAGACCTTATGTATGCTTCCTTTTTCCTCTTTGCTAGTCTCACAATTTCACCTGTCATCCATGGTTCCCTAATCTTGCCCTTTCTATCCCTCATTTTCACAGGGACATGTCTGTCCTGCACTCTAATCAACCTCTCTTTAAAGCCTCCTACATATCAAATGTGGATTTACCCTCAAACAGCTGCTCCCAATCCACATTCCCCAGCTCCTGCTGAATTTTGCTATAGTTGGCCTTCCCCCAATTTAGCACTCTTCCTTTAGGACCACTCTCATCTTTGTCCATGAGTATTGTAAAACTTACGAAATTGTGATCACTATTCCCAAAGTAATCCCCTACTGAAGCTTCAACCACCTGGCCGGGCTCATTCCCCAACACCAGGTCCAGTATGGCCCCTTCCCGAGTTGGACTATTTACATACTGCTCTATAAAACCCTCCTGAATGCTCCTTACAAATTCTGCTCCGTCTAAACCGCATCACTAAGTGAGTCCCAGTCAATGTTGGGAAAATTAAGATCTCCCATCACCACCACCCTGTTGCTCCTACATCTTGCCATAATCTGTCCACATATTTGTACCTCTATTTCACGCTTACTGTTGGGAGGCCTATAGTACAGCCCCAACATTGTTACCGCACCCTTCCTATTTCTGAGCTCTGCCCATATTGACTCACTGCTCGAGTCCTCCATTGTGCCCTCCTTCAGCACAGCTGTGATATCCTCTTTGACCAGTAATGCAAATCCTCCACCCCTTTTACCTACCTCTCTATCCTGTCTGAAGCATCCATATCCTGGGATATTTAGTTGCCAATCTTGCCCTTCTCTCAACCAAGTCTCAGTAATAGCAATAACATCATACTCCCAGGTATTAATCCAAGCCCTAAGTTCATCTGCCTTACCTGCTACACTTCTCGCATTAAAACAAATGCACCTCAGACCACCTGTCCCTTTGCATTCATCATCTGCTCTCTGCTGACTCTTCCCCTTAGTCACACTGATTTCATTATCTAGTTCCTTACAGGCTTTAGTTACTACCTCCTTACTGTCCACTAACCTCCTCATTTGGTTCCCATCCCCCTGCCACATTAGTTTAAACCCTCCCCAACAGCATTAGCAAAAGCAGCCCCTAGGACATTGGTTCCAGTCCTGCCCAGGTGTAGACAGTCCGATTTGTAATAGTCCCACTTCCCCCAGAATCGGTCCCAATGTCCCAAAAATCTGAACCCCTCCCTCCTGCACCATCTCTCTAGCCACTCATTTATCCTGCCTATTCTTTCATTTCTACTCTGACTAGCACGTGGCACTGGTAGCAATCCTGAGATTACTACCTCTGAGGTCCTACTTTTTAAACTTGACTCCTAACTTCCTAAATTCTGTTTGTAGGACCTCATCCCGTTTATTACCTGTATCATTGGTGCCTATATGCACCACGACAGCTGGCTGTTCACCCTCCCCCTTCAGAATGTCCTGCAGTCAATCTGAGACATCCCTGACCCGTGCACCTGGGAGGCAACATACCATTCAGGAGTCTCGTTTACGACCATAGAACTGCCTATCTACTCCCCTTACAATCGAATCCCCTATGACTATAGCCCTTCCACTCTTTCTTCCTGCCCTTCTGTACAGCAGAGCCAGCCATGGTGCCATGAACCTGGCTACTGCTGCCTTCCCCTGGTGAGCCATCTCCCCCAACAGTATCCAAAACGGTATACCTGTTTTGGAGGGAGATGACCGCAGGGGACACCTGCACTGCCTTCCTGCTTTTTCTCTGCCTTTTGGTCACCCGTTCCTTTTTTCCCTCAGCAATCCTAATCTGCGGTGTGACCAATTTGCTAAACGTGCTATCCACGACTTCCTCAGCATTGCGGATGCTCCATAGTGAGTCCATCCACAGCTCCAGAGCTGTCATGCTGTCTAACAAGAGCTGCAGCTGGATACACTTCCTACATGTGTAGGAGTCAGGGACATCAGCCGCGTCCCTGAGCTCCCACATTGAGCAAGAGGAGCATAACACGGGTCTGGGATCTCCTGCCATTTTTACTCTTAAGCTTAGCTTAGTCCTACTATAATATCAAATAATAGATAAATGAAATGAATAAATTTTTACCAAACACTCTACTTACCAACCCCCAAATAAAAAACAAAGAAAATCCTTACCTTATCAACACACCGCAGAGTCTTTCTTTTTTGGTCAGAGGAGGAGGAGGGTGGGTGGGAGATACTACACGTGTAGTGTCTCTGGTTTAGCCACTGCCCAAATATATCAGTTCACTCACCTTCCCAGAGCGCAACTCGACCGGTCCCACTCAGCTCTGCTGCCGAAATGAAGAACTTACCTTCCCCGCAGCCCCTTGGTCCTCGCGCTCACCGCTCCCGCTGCTGCTTCAAAAATGAAGGCTGCTGATTCCACGAGGTAAGTATTTAAATGGGAAACTTACCTCCCAGCAGCCCCCTGGTCCTTGCTCTCATTAACTCGTATTTTAAACTTAAGTAGAGGCATGAAAGCTGAGCTATTGAAATTGAGCGGCCAAGTTATGTTTAAAGAATAGGTCAACACAGATACAGTGGCAGACATTTAAAGGGATATTTAAGACTACATAGATGCATTCCAATAAAAAAGTGAAATTTCAAGTGCTGAATTAAAGTTGTTGAAGGTCGTATCTAACTTAAGGAAAAGACATTAATTGTGCAGATTAGTGATCAGTCAGAAGACTGGACAAAAGCGCGAAGATTGACCAAAAGGTTAATCAAGGGTGCTGAAGTAGAGTCAGAGAGAAAGCTAGCTACAATTGTTAAAAACAAGCTTCTATCATTAATTGTTGCAAAGAGTTAATAAAGTGAACGTTGACATAGTCTGGGGAAATCAATAGAAAATAAAGAGATGGCAAATGGATTGAGCAAGTGTTTTGCATTAGTCTACACTATATAGGATAAAAGTAACACGCCCCGAATAGCTTTAAATGAGGAATTGGAAGGGAGAGAGGTATTTAAGAAAATTATAATTGCCATGGTAATGATGCTAAGCCAATTGTTGGAGCTGGGTATTAACTGAAGTGGCTAGGCAGATAGTTATGTATTAGTTTTAATTTTCCAAAATTCCCTAGATTCAGGGAACGCTTTGTTAGATCAAAAGATTGTGACTCCCACATTTGAAAAGGAAGCAGGCAAAGTGTGAAAATACTTAGGTAATTAGCTTAACATCTATTATAGGGTAGATACTAGAAGTTTTTGCTGGAGACGTTATAGCGGGTACTGAAAAAAAAACAAGGTAATCAGGCCAAGTCAGCATGAATTTGTGAAAGGGAAATGGTGTTTAACCAATTTATTGGATTTCTTTGAAGAAATAACATATACTATTGATAAGGGAAATGGTGGATGTGCTGTAATTAGATTTCCAGAAGACATTTCATAAAGTGCTATATCAAGCTTTATTGCAGGAAATTAAAGCTAATAAAGTAAGGAATAACATATTGGCATAGCTAGACTAGCGAGCTAACAGCAAAGTGTGTCAGCATAAATTGGTCATTTTATGGTTGGCAGGACATAACCAGTGTTGTGCCACAGGGATCAGTGCTGGGGCCTAAACGTATTACAATTTATATAAATGATTTGAATGCAGGGATCAGTGGAATGGTTGCTATGTTTGCTGATGACGCAAAATAGACAAAAAACATGAAATGTGAGGCAAACATGAGGCTACAAGGGGATATAGACAGATTAAGTGAGAGTGAAGACCTTGCAAATGGATTTTCGTGTGAGAAAATTTGAAATTGCACGTTTTGGCAAGAAAAAGAGCTAAGCATATTTTCTAAATGGTGAGTGATGCAGAGCTTTGAGATGTAGTGGGATCTGGGAATCCTAAATCATGAATTATGAAAGGCTAGTATTGAATATAGCAACTAATTAGGAAAGCTAATAAATTGTTTTTATTCATTGCAAGAGGAATTGAATGCAAACATAGAGTAGTTATCCTTCAGTTATATATAGGGCATTAGTGACATCATATCTGTTTACTTGTTTGATATCTAAAATGGGTGAGATGTCTTGTAAGGAAACATTAATGGATATAAGCCTAGTCTATCTAAAGTCTAGAAGAGGAGGAGGAGGTGACTTGATTCGAGCACAGGAACCTGAGGAGGCTTGTCAAAATTGACATGGAGAAGATCCTCCATCTTTGGGAAAATTTAGAACTGAGATGTTAAAATAACGATAAGAATTTTTTTTCGAGTGCTTCACAACTTTGGGACTCTGCAACCATCACCTTTCAAGAACGAGAATCCTTAAATGTCTTTAAGACAGAAGAATAAATTCTTGATACACAAGATAATGAAAGATTCTCAGGTGGGACTGAGAGTTTACTCTGAGTTGAATTTACACTCCGATCAACATCATTCAATTATGGAACAGACTTAAGGTGCCAAATAGCCTACTGTTGCTAACTCGTTCGCAATGGCAAAGGTTAAGGTAAAGTTTTGCAGCAAGTGTCTTGGAACTGTAATAAAGACAAGTACAAGAGAAAGTCTGCAGGTCTGGCACCATCTATATAGAGAAAAAAAACTAATGCTTCATGTTCAATGACTTGTTCAGAACTTGAGAGGCTGAGAGCTGTGATTGAAGAGAAATTGTAATTTGTTGAATAATTGATCAATCATTGAACTTTTAAAAGTAAGCTGCTTAGGAGAATGGTGTCACTTGATAAGTGTTTATGAGAACTTGTAGAAATGAATCCATATTTATGTATTCCTTTCTCATCCCATCCTCATGAGTTCAATTCATCTCTTGTCTAAATGCTATTTGATGCTTCTGTAGTGACCCGGACTGCGAGGGACACCCGTGTGAAAGCAGCAATGTGTACGATCATCAGCAGTTTGATGGTGAGGAAAGTCAAGATGAAGACAGCTGCTCTGAACACAGCTCCAGTACCTCGACATCAACCAATCAGAAGGAAGGAAAATACTGTGACTGCTGCTACTGTGAATTCTTTGGGCATGGTGGGGTGAGTGATTCATGCTGTTGGATGGTTTGGGGATAGGTGGAGTAGTGTTTCAGCAAGAGTTGCTTTTGGTTTCAACTGTGATCCACTATATGTATGCAGACATGCACCTTGTACGTTTCCCCAGAATGGAAGGGCATGAGTTTTCTCATGGGATTGCTTTTTCCTCTTAAGTATGGAAGATTCACGTATTATTGTAATGAGTGTGAATTGCAGTGTTCTAACAGCCAATGACTAAGTCACATGTAAAAGTAGAGAAAATACTTTTGCTTATGGGGGGGCAAAAATAATACTAGCAGCTGAAACTGTAAGGCAACTAATAAATCTAATGGAGTTTCTTCATTCAGACAGGTTAGAATGTGAAACTTAAGGATTAGTTGAATAAATGGAACAGATGTCTTTTAAGGGGAAGCTAGATAAGCAAAAAGCAGAAAGGAATAGGAGGATGTGCAGATAGTGACACCAAGATGAGTGGAAGGAGGTCATGCAGAAACTCCGGAGTCAACCAGTTATGCCAAATGACATCTTTCTGTGCTGTGTATTCTATGAAATAGGGGTAAATTTCTCACACCATTTCCTCGATACTAATTGTAGTGATTGTAATGAGGTTAGTCAGCTGGACCTCTTTTAAGATATGAGTTCCTGATTGGGCTGTTAATCTGATCCAATCAGGAATACTAGCTGACAGATGAGAGCAGAAGAGTCAGACATCCTGGTTGCTGTGAGGGAGCTGGATCAGTTCAAAGACTTTCCATGTGTAAATATAGGGTGACTTGGTGAGGGGATACTGGCCTCTGTGGAGTTATTTCAGTGGCGATGAGAGTGGGATTAATGATGAAACAGTGTAAAAGTACCTGCTAGCTGAAGACCAACTGCACTTCAAAGAGGCACTACTACTGGCATTATCATTGGGAAATGCGTTAAATGGAGCATGAGTTGCAGGATACTCCAGTGGAAATGAGCACCCTTGCCAGTCCAACTGAGCTTGGGGAGCACCATTTGAGTGCAGGCAATTGCATAGCCTCACTCGGGTAATATCCTGAACAGGGGCCTCTAGGTCAGCCCACAACAGAACCCCCAAAACAAGCCAAGCCTTGGCCAAGCAGTTAAAGTTTTCATCAGGATTTGGGCTGGCAAGCCATTGTAGATGCTGCCAGTATGCAGCGACAGCAATTGTCCCACTCTACCGAAATGGAGTAAGAGAACTCAAAGGCCGGTATCCAGGAGAGTGCACACCCTGGAAAATTCACCTACATCTGGTTCTGAGCGACATCCAAACCAATCAAAATTTACATCTGGTTAAATAGTCACCCTGTTTTAATGGAGGTTTTTACTGGTATAGCTGTTTCAGTGATCACCAAACCAGTCTTTAACAAAATTCGCTTCAGGTTCTAAAACTTAAGTTTGCATAAGACCTTGGCTAGACTGAGAACTTGTACCAGGGAATATTTACAGATTAAGGGTATAACTTCGCTTCTAGTCTCTTATGAGAAATAGCTGGTTCAGTTACCACTAATTGTAGTGAAAGTCTAGGGCCCAAGCTTGATGGGGCGAAATTGGTTGCGAAAGATTCACCTAATTTGGCTCAACATTTTTCGATTAGAAAATGGCTGCCCGAGCGAAGTTTGTAATAGTTTGAAATTTTCTGGACACACTTCTTTGAATTTGGGAAGACTGTGTTTAACAAGGCATTTAGCAAACCTGCTTTCATTGCTCAGACCTTTGAGTATAGGAGTTGGGCCATCACGTTGAGGTTGTATAGGGCATTGGTGGGGCCTCTTCTGGAGTACTGTGTGCAGTTCTGGTCGCCCTGCTATAGGAAGGAAATGATTAAATTGGCGAAAGTTCAGAAAACATTTACCAGGATGTTGCTGGGAATGGAGGGTTTGAGTTGTAAAAATACACTGGAAAGACTGGATTTTTTAACTGGAGCGTAGGAAGTTGAGGTGTGACCTTAGAGGTTTATAAAATCATGAGGGGCATAGATAAGGTGAATAGCAAGGGTCTTTTCCCTGGGCTCGGGAGTTCAAAACTCGGAGGGCATATTTTTAAGGTGAGAAGAGAAAGTTTTGAAAAGGACATGAGGCAACTTTTTTACATGCTGGTTTGTTTGTGGAATGAGCTGCCAAGGAAGTGGTGAATGCAGGTAACGGTTACAACATTGGAAAGGCATTTGGATTAGTACATGAATAGGAAAGGATTGGAGGGATATAGGTCAAATGCAGGCAAGTGGGGTTAGTTTAGTTTGGGAACATGGTCAGCATGGACTTTTGAGACCTTGTTTATAATCTGTTTGAGTTTTGGTTTGGAGTCAGATTGGTTTTATTTCTAAAGTAGGAATTTACAAACAAAGCCTCACACCTAACATGCATTTTATAACCTAAAATGTCACCACCTCTTTCCTCTACTAAAACCTTTAGCGCTCTCAGGGCAGTGAGTTGAAAGGAATTCGGGGATTTACGTATACATATTAACCAATTAAAACCTTCGAACTGATTAAAGATTTAACAGCATCTTAGGTTTGTTTACTACATCCTCATCAATGGTGTGAACCTTTGAGCTTTTATTTATTAATCCTGTGCCTGAAACCACCTCACTAACACCTGAAGAAGGAGCGAGGTTCCGAAAGCTTGTGTTTTCAAATAAACCTGTTGGACTATAACCTGGTGTCATGTGATTTCTGACCTTGTCCACCCCAGACCAACACTGGCACCTCCACATCGTGGATAAGGGATAACCAGTGGATGTGGTATATTTGGATTTTTGGAAAGCTTTTGATAAAGTTCTACTTGAGACCTTAGTGTATAAAGTCAGAGCACTTGGGATTGATGATAATATACTAGCATGGATTGAGAATTTGTTACCAAACAGGAAACCGAATAAATGGATCATTTCCAAAGTGAAAACTTCAATGAAGAAAGGCATTGGTGTTTGGTCTGAGCTGTTCACAACATATATTAATGATTTGTATGGGAGAATGAAAGGTTATATCAGCAAGTTTGTTAATGACATAAAACTAAGTGGGATCCTGATTGTTAGGAGGGCTTAGAGGTCCCAGACAATTTAGGTTGAGTGAGTGGTTAAATGTTTAACAGATGCAATATAACTTAGACAAATATGAATTGTCCATTTCATTCAGGGGAAAGGATTATTTAAATGGTGATTGGTTGGAAAACGGCTAAGAGTTAGGAAGGCACATAGTATATTAACATTGATTGCAAGAGTGTTTGAGTACAGGAGCAATAAAGTCCTACTGCATCTGTGCAGGGCCTCTGTCAGACTACAGCTGGAATATGAGCAGTTTTGGTCACCTTACTGATGTTAAACAAAAAACAGACTGAAAAAAAAAAACTAGACTAATTCCTGCAATTGGCAGGTTTGTCATCTGACGAAAGATTCAGTCAATTGGGCTTTATTTCACTGGCATTTAGAAGAATAAGAGGGGATCGCATTAAAACATGTAAAATTCTGACGGGGTAGGACAGTCTGAATGCATGGATGACGTTTCCCCTGGCCGGAATATGTGGTAGGTAGTTTTGGGCAGAGATGAATTTTTTTTTCCCTACTCCAGAGGGTGGTGCATTCTTGGAATTTGCTAGTATAGAAGGTTGTGGAGGCAGTGTTTCTGAATATAGTTTAAAAATATAGCTTTCTAGATGCCAACAGTGTGAAAGGATATTTGGAGAGAAGAGCAAGATGGCATTGAGACAGAGGATCAGCCTCTAGCAGGGTGAATGGCCTTTTCTCATGGAACACTTTTTGATAAGAGGTATTCACTCTCCTTGCTTCAGATCCCTTCTCGTCAATGTTTGGATATTTGTTTCAGTCCATGTAAATGGATCAGTTGGCCAAGGTCAGTATGCAGGCTGATACCACCTCTCCTTCATTTGCTTTGAGAAAAAGTTAAATGTATAAAGTTTTCTTATGATGATGCAGAGGCTCTTTGATTTAAATTTTTTTGTGATTTGTCATTCTCCCCAAAGGTGGTGACTACTTGCAAGGAATAGTTTCACAGGTATCCTGTGATGTCTCACTTAAGGGACCACTACTCATATGTGATTCTTACCAGCGCTAATTCTTCTGTTAAAACCATTGTAACCAAGTGTGAGCTTTTGCATTTATCACGTGCAGCAAGGTTTACTATTTAGACTTCGTGAGCGGGCGTTCTGATCTTCCTAACTTTGGTAAAGTGTTTGGGGAGTTAGACAGGTAAGCTTCAATGCCAAATGTAGTACACATAGCACCATCAAATCAAGGTTGGCAACATTGCCACAGAATTGAGGAAGAATGAAAACTTCAACTATATATGCACCAAGTTCACATCACATTTCCAAAGGCCAGTTTTCTACTTCCTTTGAAATGCACATTTTTGAAGTCTTGATTTCGTTCATGAATTCAACCAAAGTAACTATAAATGAACAGCTGGCTGGAAGTAATTTGCATAATGTCTATGATTGTCAAGGTTGTGCATTGCATAGCCTGTAGGTGCGATCTTTAATACAATGGTAGTGCTATTACGGTTTAATTTGCTAGCAGTTGCAAAAGCAGCAATATTTAGCGGATTTTGTTAATGGTGTATGGTTTTTATTTGCATGATGGTTTAAGCGTGCAGTCTTATTAATTTTATTATTTGTTTGAATTGGCATGACTAACAAATTGACGCCTGCAACTAAATGTTACTGCCCATGTCTTTCAGCCACCTGCTGCACCAACGAGTAGAAACTATGCAGAAATGCGTGAGAAGCTCCGGTTACGGCTGACAAAACGAAAAGAGGAACAGCCAAAGAAAGCAGACCAGATCCTTGAGAAGGAGCAGATAGTAGATCATCGAAAAGTGGAAGACCTATTACAATTTATAAATAGCACAGAATCTAAACCAGTCAGCAGCACAAGAGCAGCTAAACGCGCACGACACAAGCAACGAAAGGTAAGAGATTTCTCCATACCACAGACTGGTGTGGCCTCTATGTTCCTTTTCCACTCTACTGGCTTAGACCCAGGTTGTCGTTCAGATTGAGACAACAAGGCATAGAGCTGGATGAACACAGCAAGCCAAGCAGCAGCATCGGAGCAGGAAGGCTGACGTTTCGGGCCTAGACCCTTTCTGAAGAAGGGTCTAGG